ATAGATAATTAAATCAAAATATATGAAAATAACTTTACCTCAAAAAGATATAGGTAACAATTCCCCATTAAATATTTTTAGAAAAATAATTTAGACAATTATAGTTTGATGTCTGTGTTTTCCGCTTCAGATATCATCTTTCACAAAATAAGAACATGTGACTTCAACGACAAAACCAAAAAAAGTGATGTTCTCCCCATTCCCAGTTGTACCGGAGTTGAAACGGAGCGGTTTTCTGTGCGAGAAAAAGCAAAAATTGAACGGTATAAATGCAAATAAATTTTCTGGAAACTTAAAAAATTACGGTATTTACAAACGTAAGTTGCAAAGACGCAAAATGCAGAAAGCACGGTTACACACCAAAGGCAAAAAAATCCACGACATGAAAAAAAATAAATGATGCATACGGTAAAAGATTTTACGTTCCGGTTAAACTTACGTTTTGGTCAACCACGAAATGAAAAGATCCAAAATATCCCCTCTAAACTAAGAGTTTACCTTATATAAACTTCACAAAATACGGGGAGGAAACGTAGGAAATCCCGAACCGGCCGGCGTATTCGGTTAACACTGTCCAAAAATTACAACTAATTTAATTGATTCCCTCTCAGACGTCTTAAAAATACGGAGTCGGTGTCAAAATTTAAGTTTTTTAAGGGCGCACCTACCGGATGTAATCTACTTAATCGGAGGCTGTAACCTATTCAACTAATTACGGTTAATTATACTTATTCAAATAGTCGGAATTAAATCTTCAAATTCGGTATTTCAGCAATCAGCAATGACTTTTTGTTCCTTGGAATGTCAAGGAGGTCAAGCGGCAAGAGAGTTTCGGCGGCTGTAAAAGCAATTTAAATATTCCTACAGGAACGGTTGCAAAACGGATAAATCCAATACGAAACTTACGTGTGTTATCGGCGGTAACATAAACAATTAAACAAGATAAAATCACTCAAAGCTCACTCCCTCGTCTCCCAAAGCAAATAAATAAATTCAGAAACTACGGTTTTTTAGTAACGAAGCGCCCAACTAAAAACGCTTCTAGATACCGGGTGTTCATCTACAGAGCGATGCAAAAAGTGTTTTTTGTCTGTATATACGTATGTGTGTTCTTGAGAGCTGAAAAACTTTTGAAAGTTTGTAATGAGCAGCAGACTGATTTTACTGAGATTTTTATGTTCCCTGTAATGGTCTTGAAAGCTGAGAAGGTTTTAGAAGCGATTCGGAGATGGGAAATGCCCTTTCGCTTATAAAAGATATTTATTTAATAAGGTATGAACAATAAAATTTTGATTGAGAGAATGGCGCGAAAATGTTAGGCCACGTCTAATATTAAATAATTTGCCGAGGGACTTACAGAAGGATGGACGCGTCGGATTGGACTGTGGGATGTGGTTGTATGGTTTATTGGTGTAGTGCCGTGATTTTTAAAGGTATCATTTTGATAATGCTTTGTATATCGAATCGCGAATAATATAGGTTGGTATCGAGAGTGTACTGCGATCTAAAATCACTTTGAATTTACTCTGCTTCCCAAATTACAGTAAACAGGATTGAAAGCTGATTTATCCCAGCATTATGCGTAATCGTAAAATATTGTAATGTTCCCCGACATACCTGCGTATTTTAACGTATTTATGATCCACCCTTGCACGTATTCCAACAAAACAATTCTATACCAGAGCTTCATTTGTATCGAAATTTAATAAAAGGGAACCTTTCGAATAATGGGGATACCTCAACGTTGATTAAATAAAATTAGATTTCGTATTACGTTACGAAAGGACAAAAATGTATCAATTAAATAAGCAAACTGAGCCAGCTGACTATGGGTGGGTAATTGCGTTAATTACTCCGTTTTTAAACAACAACAAAGTAAGCTTTAATTAAATTGTGAAGAGCTTTTATTTGAAACACACTGAATATTTTACTTAGTGTAACCAAACACAATAATTGCGTAGCAAATTATTTTGAACGAGAAATTACGAAAATACCTATGTAACTGTTTGCTTGCGTTCGCTTTACGTAAAGGACTATGCATGAAAGCTTAATATGCTTTTTTTTTCAAAAGCAAAAAACATGATTCCGGTTAATTGGTAATTTTACATTAACATTTTTTTACATGGGGAATGTGACATTGTTTTCAGACCTTCTTTCTACGAATCTAAATTTTATCTTTTTCGACCTAAACCTTCTCTTGACTCAACTCTTGTTGAACTTGAAGTAACCCTAAGGTTAAGAATTTTGTCACATTTTTCTGAGGCTAGAATTTGCGTGTAATGTGGTCGCCGAATGAAAGAAACTGTAACCTGTATATAATTCCGAATTCTTTGATTCCTATATAACTTGTCGCTTTATTCTTATACATCGTTCGAGTCTGTGTTCAGGTGTGGAAGTCTAAAATGTCTTGAATTGATAAAGAAACTTCAACAATAATCTTGTATTGAGTACATTGAGTAGGTACCTGTATCCTCTGAATCCATTGAGAAATTTACTTGAAAATGTTACTTTCTAATCTAAGAATTTAGGAAAAGTAATAAAAGCGGACTTTAAGTAACTGTCTATAGTAGAGTAATAAAGCCATCGTTAGTTAAACAAAAAAAAATAAAAGAAGTCATAAAATCTCACACAAGCATTTCCCATTTGCTCTTTACGGCCGTCGTAAAAGTATAAATATTTTACCCGAAACATTTATTTATATCAAAACATATTGAATTCAACTCGTTGAACAATTTCGTGTGAAAAATTACAACCTTCCATTCCAAGTTGCAATCGTAAATTTAAAACGCTCAGCAAATTGCTCTATTATCGCCGTTAATCGTCCGCTAACGTTTTTCCGAAATTAGAAAATCCGTCCCTAATTGTTGATCGCATTTGCGAGTATTGGAATAACGAGATTGAAAAGAGGATTCCACAGTTAAATTAGTGTTTGTCTTTTTTGCACATTTCATAAAAAGTAGTTTCATTCTATTGCACCATCAGTACGTACTTTATGCGTAAAATGACAACTTCACAATTACAATTTGATTTGTTAATTATTGTTTAAATGGTGTTGTTTGACCTTTTAATTATTTTTCCATGTTACTAGGTTATGTAATTGTGTATCTTGTTCACTCAAGAGTAGCTAAAAAGTAATGGTCATTGGTCAATTTGAAAGGGTGCATATTTGACCAAATGTCAGGAATCAAAAAGATTTTATGTACAAAACACGGTCACTTTGTGTTTAGGTATACTATTTGTAATAGTTTGAGAAAAAGCGTTTTCAATGAACTGGTGGAAGGCTCGATGAAGGTGTACCATTCACCAGAAAACACTTCTTTGGAGATATAACAATAATTTGATTATTACTTACTATAAAGGTATAACTGAGTGTTCTATTTTTTATAGAAATAAATGCGTAATTGAGTTCATGTTCAATATTCTATGTCAAATTAGTTTTGCATCAGAAAATTGTTTCATAAAGTTTATAATAGTTGGAAAGCGGAAATACGAAGTAGACATTCAATTTCTGTTTTAGGCGTTTCAAATGTCATCTACTTAAAATTCCATTTGGATATATTCGAATCGGTTAAACGTTGCATAAATCTTGCATTCAGGCCTGGTATACTTTGAATAGCTTTAAATTAAGGTTATGAAATTAGAAAAAATCAAATGCCGCTCATACCGTGAAATGTGTACCAAGAAATAGGTAAAATTTTATTTTATTGGAAACATGTCATGGATATATCCCTTGGAATACGAACGCGGATAAAGAAAAATACGTAAACAGGATTAGTAAAGGGAAAGGAATCCACTTATGTTGGATTTGATCAGAGAGAATTTTCAACAAGGACTCGACTTTGAGGTGATATACACAAACTCAATCGATCTTAGTTATTTACTTTACGACATTTAACTTTTTCCATTGTAACTTACACGATGTGTGACTTTCTCGTCTTTATTTTTTTTGTGCAGAATGTAGTATACGCAGGGTAGTACGTAACTTGTGCTGCCTTTCTTTACAAGATACGATATCAGAAGTGCTAATAGTCATGACATGAGCGGGTAGACAACTTATAGAAAACTCGTAAAATAGAATTAGTTCAGTATGCGGAGCAGTCAGAAGGGCCGATTTCTGCAAAAGGTGGTGCAAAAGATTTTATCGCTTTAAATGGTCCATTTGGGTCCTGATTTGGGTCCAAATAACATGTATTCAGGCATGTATTTGAACAGTGCACATCAATTTTTTCCCGGCACAACTTTTGGCAGCCAAAAAACCTCAACATGTTCGGGTTTTTTTCAGTTTTTCGCTTAAAACTCAAAAACGGTCCATCTTTTATGAATAACACTTTTTTAGTAAATTAAAGAAAACACAATTCTGCGTCGATCAAAAGATGAACAAACAATATCGGTCCAATAGAAAAATTTCGATCAAATCTCTAATGCTCCCCATTAATTCCTGGAGATCCTGCACGGAAATCCCTGAAATCGGATAAAATTCCTTATAAATCCTCAGAAATCCTTTCGAAATCTTTTTAAGTTCTTCCCCATCCTTGCTTTTGACACTGCATTCCAACACTTTACTAATACCGCCGCTTTCATATAGAAAAACCTACGCTTCGTCACGCACCTTCTCACAGGTATTATAATTTAATAACAATATTTGCGATTGTTATATTTCAAATACTGCGTGGTAATATTGAGTAAAACAATTAGAAGCTAAAGTTTGTTTTTGAACGAGCCAAAAAAAGCTAATTCAGTGACAAAATGCAATTGGAAGGTAGACATGTCAGAATGAATTAATTTAGAACACAATCTCATGCGTTCAAAAATTGTAATTCACATGTCATATTTTATCAGGAACGACTTCATTCGGTACGGCAAAACAATTATTGAAAGGTAAAAGTGACCGCACGTGCAGATAAGCGCATCAGGTGATTAATCTCTACCTGCTTACGTTACCGCCCCTCCATCAAAAATATAACTTATGATCAAATCATTCGATCGTGTTAACGCGAAGTGCAGTGCATATTGTGCGGAATGGTCTCCAAAAATTTCATATGGTTCCAAGGAGAGTGTCTAGTACCGAGGGCAAGGAAGCTAAGGGTGATTAGGTACCGCGTAAAATGCAGTAAGTAATTTGGATTTTTACATTTAAACATTGGGCATACAATGCAAATTGATTTTGGAGTTGGACAATAGGCGAAGTGTGATTAAATATTGTGTATGGAAATTTACCTCCACACATGTAACTGCCGTTAGTTTCAATCGATCATTTTCCAAATCAAAAATTTATACACGGCAATTACGATCATCTTAGGTATCTATCCAAGTCTAAAATTGGAAACACATGTGTAGTCCATTGCGTCGGCGGCGTCGCCATTTTAAACAGGTGTTTAGAAGTCTGTTGATAATTTCATTCTGTTAACCGCACTTGCCTTTTTATTAATTAGCTTTAATAATAATTGTGGCAGAGTTTACTAATTTTACGAGTGAACCAAATACCTTCGCAAAATGAAATGTATTGAAATCGAAATATGCAACTCAAGATTATTGTGTCACCTCATTCTAAAAACTGTACGAAAAGGGTGACTAGCAATTTCATTCTTTCTCCCTGTATTCATGTTAAATCTGAGTCCATATTAGAGGCATTTAATTGGTCCAGAAATTCATTCAATATATCAACGTATTCACAAACTTATTTTAGAGCTGAAGAATCGAATAGTGGATTTCCATTTTTCGCATATTCAGACCAGATAATTTTGTCTTGAACTTGTATCTCAGCAACCATATGACAAATGGAACGATTGGGCTATACCCAGGTTTCGGGCATGCCTTTCTGATCTGTAAAATACCTACCCAAGGAGGTGCTTTTTTGATCCCCAATCGACGCCCCTAGGGATGCTGTAAAGCTCATTAGAGATGCTGTAGGAAATTCAAATTCATTAACCCATTGCGTTTGGGTAAGTGTAACATCTTAAACGGTTTTAGAGATGTTTTAAATTTCTGGGGCTATTTATCAAACCAAGCTCATTAAATTTGATGAAGTACCTTACAATTTAGGAACAACTTGAAATAATGTAGAAGGTCGAAAATATCCAAAATCATTAGTAACTTGAACAAAAGACGTGGTTTTGGTAAGCATTACACCCAAAGCAATGTTCTTAGGGACTTTGCAAGTTTGGGGTGGCTGTTTTCATGACGTAGCACCTTACAATTTATATGAAATGAAATACACTTCCGCTTGCCAGTTATTAAATAAGGGTTAAGGCGGACTGACCTTCATGGCTTAAACGTCACAAATGCGGCTGCTTAGTGACATGAATGCATCAGTTGCAGTGAAAGGGTGGTGTTGGGAGAGCCATTCAAGCAATTTGGATGAGTCTTGTTCATTCCGGCTCATTCAATAATTTCCAACAAATTTCAAAAATTGGTCCAATTAAATTTTTGGTACGTTTTGAACTCGGATGTCCTTCAATCTTTAGGAAGGGGGTAGTGAATTTTACCGTTCATTTAGGAAGTTGGAAAAAATGGGTGTTTATTGATCGCTTTTAACAATTTTTCTATTGGACCGATTTTGTTTGTTCATTCATTGATCGACGCAGAGTTTTGTTTTCTTTTTTTAATAACGAAGTGTTATATTAAAATATGGACCGTTTTCGAGTTTTAACCGAAACACTGAAAAACGTCCAAACATTTTGAGGTTTTTTTGCTGCCAAAAGTTGTGCCGGGAAAAAATAGGTGTGCATTTTTCAAATCCATGTTATTTGTACCCAAATGAACCATTTAAAATAATAAAATCTTTTACACCACCTTTTGCAGGTCAAAATTATCTACATACTGGACTAAATAAGATTCTGGAATGAAGTTTAAGGGCTGATATATTCAAATTCATAGCGTAATTTGTATATGGAAGTAGATAAATCCGGAAAAAGTTTTACATTTATTCCCTCGTGGTGGCTATCCACAAGTCCGGAAACGTTCCTATTAAACTTGGCAAACTACAAAAATACGACTAACCTCTATTTACAATTTTTCTTGTGCGTGGATGGTCTGGAACTCTTACTGATAATTTGGTAAAGTAATCGGTTGCACCCAATGCCTTTTATGTTAACAGCAGTTGATGAAACATATTTATTTGATTGATTTTACAAACAGTTTCCCTTCTAATATTCAGTAATTTTTTGACTCCCATTTAGTGGTGGAATAGTTATGGCGGCGGTATATTATTAATCTTTATTGCAGAAGTAACATAACACGACCAATTTCCAGCGTGTAATTCAAAACTGTAACCAGACAAGGAGGATATACGATTTGGAACAAATTCCTTGTTGAGCACGGTGAGAAGATTACGAAACCTCATTGTTACCAATCACCAAAACAAACACTTGAACCTACCATGAGTAGAGATATTTGTTTGGATGAATGTTTTCACAACCTTGATTCTTGTTCAACTTAGAAACTTTACTTCCGCATAATTCGACTTCAGTAATTTTAAAGATGGTAGTTCAAGTGGCAATTCTTCCCCAAAATTGCATAATGAAATGACCAAAAATTCAATTACAAGTTTAATTGAAAAAAAAACAAATTCCTATCGTTTTTAATAATTATTCTCCAAATTGTTCTATAAAGAGTTGTTTTGAATTGACATTTAACATAAGGACTTGAGTATGTATTAGATCTAGATTTAGGGCGGTAGATATGTCATATCTTGTGAGAAGTCAAAAACGCCCTATCGGCCAAAAAATTATTGACAGTGTCAACCACTTAAAAGAAGGGACTGGTCACTAAATGTGTTGCATTCAACAGTAAACGCAGATTGATAGCTGTATGGTGTAAAAGGTACTCATAGTTTGAGAGTTATCGCATGTACGGACTGACAGACAAACGGACATAAGGACAATGGTGCGATTTCACGGAAGGCGTCCAGAGTGCTTAATATTTTTGTTGCAGTTTGACAAATTTATGTCTTTTATAATTTGAATTATTAGCTGCACATATTTTCGCCGTAATTCTATTTTCAATAAAATTAAAAATTTAATGTTAAAGTGGTTGCCAACTTCATAGGCCCTTAACTAAAGTATGTGATGTTTGGAATTAAAAAAATGTTAATTAAAAGTTTACGGACTGTTCACGAAGAGATCCACATTATTGAATGCACGAAATTTATTCGCACTGGTGCAATCGAATGCCTCATCTCATTTAACATATTTTTAAATATTCAACCAAATTTAGGGGTCTCTCAAGTTAATTGAAGTGGAAGTGAAATGTTTCGAGCGTAATATCCTCACGCACATTTTGTCGGTTTATGTCACGAAAATTAACTTTAATCCCATAAAAGCTAACATAATTGAAAATAATTCGCTCACTTAGAACGGCCCTCTATATAATTACTCAATTATTATACATTAGCCGAATTAAAAGCGTCATTAAATACAATTCCGCCCTTTCCAAGATATCCCTTTGTAACGTACGAAATGGCTTGGCAATATCTCCTTTGTTGTTTTTTTGTTGTAATGCGAAAACGATTCTAATTTTCTCTTTCAGACTCAACAAAACGATTTAATACCATTTCCAAAAAAGCACCGAATGCGCAAAGTGACAAACGAATTAATGTTCCTAATTACACCACACCGATTTATCGGAATTGCATTCCGCTTCACATTGTGCTTATGACTGAAAGTGAATACAAAGATGATGGTCTTATTTCGTATAACAACGCGTTTTGTATTTCTTTTCGTTTTGTGCAGTTACCAGATTATTTAGAGGAGATTTCCACTCGAAACTCCGTATTTTGTACTCTTCAGCATTTTTCCGTGTAAAAATTGTGATGCAAACTTCCTTTGTTGAGCAAGTGGAAGGTATTGACAAAAACCTATGTTTTTATTAAAAAATAACAAATGAAATTGGAAGCTGAGAGCACAGTATGGACGTATGGTGCTTTTATATATTATTGAAGTGCTTATTTAAATTCAGTTCTGAAGGAGTGATCCACTTATGAAACCGCTTTATGTTTCCAGGGGTAAATAACATAGCCGAGAAATTTTGTAATGTCTAACGTATGTCCTATATTCATTGCGGTATCCTAGATGATTTCAATGAGGGCCAATTTTTCAAACAAAGTTCTCAAATATAGCGTAATTTTTTCCGATACCACCATGACACTACCTCTATATAGAGAAAAGAGTATACGTTTCGAAAAGTGTATTAGATTACCCTCAAAGTTAGTCTATAACTTTCACTGTTAATCACGGTGTCTTTTATAATGTTTTTAATCCCATCCTTATGATACAAAGTTTTAATTGCGTTTCGAACATCGTTAAGGGGTTAAGGGGCCCAAGAACGTAAGGGTTTTTCGAAATAGGGTGAATTCTTTCAAGTATCTTAAAAACGTTATAAAAATGAGCAAGATCACACAGCCATGTAAAAGAAGTAAGCCTGGAAGTAAGTAGGGGTGCATTATTACAAATAATGACCTACTAGGGATTATGGTTACATATTCGGAATATTAGTTTTGGAAATTCTATTTTTTCATACAAGCTCAGAAAATGAATAGCCTTATTCTTTACACATTGTAGTTTATAAAGTTCGGAGAGTTATTTTTAAGAAATGTCACGAATTTCTCCAATTTCCTCCCTCTCCACATTCAATTACCGTACCTTACACTTTAAGAGGAATTATAATTAGGAGTACGGAACTAAATATTCCTTGTGACTTTAATTTATAATTTGGCAACTTTGATGTACAAAAATGTTAATTGAGAATTTACCGAAAAATCTGTCTATATGTGGATAAGATTACGGATTTTTCTTGTGCAACTCTCTTTTTAAAGCATCATCCTTGCTGAAATGGACATGTCCTGTACTCGAAATAATCCTTATGTATTCCTTTATTATGACATCGATCAGGCCTCTGATTTTCTTTTCTCCGTATTCAGCAAATTGGCTTGCGCTTGTCATAAATTAAAGGAAACTTTGAAAAAGAGACATAATAATAAAGGATATCTCATAAAAAGAATCTACTGAACCTGCAAACTCAATCAACATGACAACCGTAAGGCAGAATATTATCTAGACGTAAGAAATCAATACAGTAGCTATGTTCTAATCTGAATCGGCAGTATTGCTAACC